TCATCCTGTTTTTAAAAATGGTGATTGTTCTTTTGTTTGCATCTACCGTCCTATTTCACTACTCCCTGTATTTTCAAAAATATTTGAAAAGGTAAATTTTAATCAAATTTACTTCTATACAAAAATCAATTTGGATTTCAAAGATATTTGTCAATTGAACATGCTATTATTGAACTTTCCAAAAAAATATTCATGTCTTTTGATATAGGAGAACAAGTATTTGGAGTATTTATTGATCTCTTTAAGGCATTCGATACTGTTGATCACGGAATTATGCGTTCAAAGCTAAAACATTACGGCATTAAAAGCCTAACATGTAAGTGGGTTAAGAGTTATCTTTTTAATAGAAAACAGTTTGTTATCCTGGAGAAGTTAGGAGCTCTTGACATTGTTTGCAGAGTCTTACAGGGATCATTTTTAGGACCTTTATTATTTTTAATATATATCAATGATATGAATAAAGCTTCTCATAAAATATCGTCAATTATGTATGCAGACAATAAAAATTTATTCTACAACAATTCTGATGTAAAAATATTGTTCGAAACAATGAACACTGAAATAGAAAGCTTTAATTAATGGTTTATAGCTAATAAGTTATCATTAAATTGTGAATAAAAAAGTTTTATTCTCTTCCATAAAATTAGACAATCAACTAATCTTCCATTAAAATTTCCAAAACTGTCAATAATAAAAATGAAATAAATCGAGTAAATCATTCAAAGTTTTTGGGAGTAATATTTGATCAGAACCTATCAAGAAAAAAAACATATTAGTCTCATTGAAGCAAAATATCTTCTGCTATAAGTGTATTATTTAAATCTAGGGCTTTTCTTGATTATAAATCACGCGAAATGCTCCACTTCAGTCTTGTTCCTACTCTCCTACGCTAAAATTGATTGGGCTAGCACAAACAAAACTAAGTTTTTAGGATTATAGAGCCTACAAAACCACGCATGTAAAGCAGTTAACTAATTAAAGAGATTAAAAAATCCTTGCCCTGTATTGAAATACAGAATGTTTTAAATATATCAAAACTTAATTCGCTTCAAATGTTAGTATTTATGAATAAATATAAGAACAACTTGCTGCCAAAAGTGTTTCTTGATATTTTTACATCAGCATTTTCTAAAAAATACAATCTTCAGTCAAATAACAACCATAATCATTACTTGAGCATAGTAAAATCGCAAGTGTCGAAATTCTCACTTATTCCATAATGATGGGCGAAGGCCCATCATTATGGAATAAATTAAAAAATAGCAATATAAAAAATTTGAAAAGCACTTTCTCTTCAAACAACAAATGAAACTGCATGTTTCATTTGTCGTTCATATAACATCAAAAAGTTTATAGAGTAATAAAACAGTATGTTTGTACATGTATGTGTTTTTATGGATATACGTATATATGAGTATATATGTACATATGAGTTTTTCTTTATTCTTCACGAAGTATTTAACAGATTAAATATTTGTAGTAAATTTTCTAAAGCTATGTTGACTTCAAATGATATTGTAAAGGGGCTCTATTAAAAGATTGTGGTGACACCAGTCATCCTTATCTTGTTTGAGCCCCTGTGTGTTATATACATATATTCTTTGTGTAATGTGAAAGTTTCATTGTGATTTTATTATTTTATTTTTATATAAACAGCGAAATATATTTAAAAAAATAAATAAATAAATAAAGATTAACAAGAATTATTTAAATTAAATGTTGTAAAAATAAAATGGATCAGACTAAAAAAAAACATACAAAATGCAAATTAAAAATAAAAACAACAACTGATGTAAAAAAAAATCGAAAAATCAGCGTAATATAATTTTAATTTAGTTAGAGACTTTGCAGAGACTTCTGTTGAATATAAAAAAAATGCACAAACTATCTGAAAATAGATGATCTTGAAATAATAACATCTCCTAATTTCTAAGGTTTTATCTATATTTATCTGTAAATTAAAAAAGAAAAAATTCTATTTTACTAAGAGACATATACATATACAGTAGTAATAAGATGCACAGGTTATAAAACAACAAATCTCCCTGAGGGAGTTTATAAGTAATTTTTATGACATTCTTCCAATCATTAAATTTGTTCATCCTCAAAACCGTATCTTTGGGGCGCTCTGCAGTTTGGCTACGACAGTTTCGGAAGATGACTAAATTGCCTATGTCATTGCGTTACACTATCCGATTCTGGATCAAGTAAGTGCTCTTTTATTTGTAACTAGAGATTTTTTGAGTTGCGAAATATACTCCAAGAGGTGGTCTTGTTTATATCTCCTATTGACGGTATATCTTTTTTATTTTTAGACTATAGATTCTCTTCCGCATTGAAATTTGATGTGCGCATGCTGATTCTCTGCTTCTATTAGTTCAACTTCTTCCGCTAGGGGATCGTATTTGCTAGATGGAAAAAATTTCTTCACAGAAACTTTCCCCTATTCTTGCAATCAGGCTAGGATATATTTTCCGTTTGAATATCTCTACGGAAAATTATAGAACTTCTCATGTATCGTTGCATTTGTTGCAGTGCAAAGTAATGATTCAGAATGATTCAGTAATGATGAAAGTAATGATTCAGAATGCAAGGGTGTCAAACAAGAAGAACAAGTTCAGAGGGAAACAGAGGGAGAACAAATTCATGAAACAGAGGGCGAAAAAGTTCTTGAAACAGAAGAATAAAAATTTCTTAAAACAGACGAGAAATAAGTTTTTGAAACAGAGGGAGAACAAGTTCTTAAAACAGAAAAATTCAGGACAAGGACAAAGAATAAAAATTGCAAGTTTCAGTCAATAATTTTAAAGATATAACAATTTTTAGTTGATGTTGGAAGTGGGCTTTTCAAATCTTCCTTAAGTTGTTCGAATGGTTAGGTTGTTTTAATGAGGTGAGCATTAGGTGGTTTGTAAATTCGAGATTTAAGTTCACAGCAGATAACGCACTGGTTACGACACTTTTGATTTCTTCTATGGAGTATGGTATTTTCAGACTGAAAAAAAGGTTCTTTCTTGTTATGCCTAGTTGACACAGGACATTATGGAGCTCTACTAAATTTAGTTAGTAGAGCTTCATAATGTCCTGTGTCACCCAACCATCCATCTCCATATTTGTTATTACATAAAAAGAAACATGTTAATTTTGTGTTTTTATTATTAGGTAATTTTTAATTTAATAGGGCAGAGTATGAGGATTTTTTTATTTCAAGTGTGTTTTCAAGACTTGCCTGCACCAAACATAAAAAAAGACTGAATTTGTTCTTTAAAATATAGATTTTAAAGAAACGATTCATTTTAAGTTCGTTTCTTGCATTACATTTTAGTCATCTATCAGATTTGAGGTATAACTTGAAACTTCAAATTTACTTCTAGCGTTCAAAAAAGTAAGATAAACTTTTCATGTCTTACTTAGTATAGCTTGAGTTGAAGTTTGCTCTTTGCATTTGTTCATGTCCATTTTTGATTTAAAGTATGACTTCATAGTTGCTTTTTGCACGCTAACGGGTGACAACTAAAAAACAATATTGAATTGAATGACACATATCTCTTTAAAGTAATAAGATAAAATAAAAAGGAAAAATGTTTTAGAAAGTTATTTTTCTCAATTAATCTTGTAGACAAGGGTTTTCAAAAAACTTCAAAAATTTTCGATTGGGCGATAATCTGGCAAAATTGTAAGGTTATCTCCTTTCTCAACATAATGCACGTTTTCTTTCTTTACTTGATTACTGTTTTTGCATAGTGAGGTGATGTTAAATCCGACCAGAATACATATGCACTATCTTTATAATACTTATTGATGAATAGAATAAGTCTCTTCTAAATAGATTTGTTTAAATAGATTTTTAGATTTACAGCCAGTCTATTTGGTACAATATATGTTCAGATATTCCTTTTTTAGAAAAAGCAATCCATAAAAGTAATTTCATTTGAAATTTTTATTTTGTTTGGTATTTAACTGTAGATGGAGTAAATTTTTTTTAATGTTTTACTAATACGTTGCTGAGTACAGCGGAATATTTTTAAGAAACTTTGTTGTGAAACTCCGTCTTTATGGTCAAACATGAGTTAGAGCCTTTCAACTTTTGTCTAGGTCATTTTTTTAGCTTTTACTCAACTTTCTTGAACTCTTTAGTAACAAGATTTAGTTTCAGCAGGTTTATTTATCTTATAGATAGTACTTTTAAGTGTATTCATAACTTTAAAGTGGTCATAAGTGAACTTTTTTACAGCATTTTTGTAATTTAAATAAAATTTATACGTTTTTTAATCTCTTCTTGTTTTGAATTTTTTTTCTATTCATTTTTCTATAAAAAATAAAAGACATAAAATATTTTAAAAACTACAATAAAAATACCTTCTATTAATAAAAGTTTGTTTCTTTAAGGAGATATGTGTCTTTAAATTCAGTCTCGTTATTTAGTTGTCACCCGTTATTTTTATAGTTAAGTCTAAATATCATTTACATTTACTGTTAATGTTTTTATTTCAATGAGTATACAAAAATATTCAATGAGTATACAAAGTTAAAAATCAGAAGCTTTTTCACTCTCCAGAATCATGGCCAAAAAAATAGCTTGTTTAAAATATTTTACTAATGTTTTGAAAACAAATTTTAAATTATTTATTGGGAAACCTATTTTTCATATAAAAAGTAAACTTAATTAAAATTAACTAAAATAAGTATTTAAAAAAAAGGAATTAAAATAAATTTAGTTAATTTTACTTGAATTTACATTTTATATGAATTTTTTTTTTAAATAAGTATATTGGTTGTTTTCATACTTATACCTGCGTTTAGCGTGTTTGGATAAGGAGTTGACTTTGTAAACGAATTGACTGTGGTTCGAGAGCCTGATTTTTTTTTTTTTTTTAAATTTTAAACAGGCATTTAGCTGAATGTTAATACAATAAAATAAGAATATCAGAAAATTTTAATTCAAACATTTGTGTTTTAAAAAAATTTGAAAGCGTTGGGTTTTAAAAATTCGTTATAAATTTTACATGTCTCATAACTAGTATTTTAGAAACTACAACAAATAACTCCTTGTCTAAATATCGCTTTTAATCGCAAACTTGAATTCTCTTCCTCTTTCATCAGGTTATATTGTAAATTCAAATTTAATAAAGTCAGTGATTAAAGTCGATAAGAAGAATTACAGTTTTATTGGTGTGCAAATATAGTTAATATAACTTTTCAGTGAAAGGGGCACGTCCTGTTTTACCTAAGTTTCTATCTACACGCTTTCGCTCAATGGTTCGTATTGGAATACAGTGTTTATGATAAATAACTAATGTGCGGCACGGATTTAAAACAGTGTAGTTCATAGAATTTATAAAATGCCAAATTAAAACATTTTCGCTTCCTTCATTTATTGATTTAAATTGTCCCAAGTCGTAAAGCATATCGTTACTGAAATCTTTTTTCATGTGAAACGCAAAAGCATCGTGGGAGCCAATATAGGAAGAATCAACGTTGCACGTTCCGTAATTTGTAGCATCGCAAGATTCATTGTTTGAAATTGAGTGGCGAGTTAATGCATACATAATACTAGATTTTTGAAGGTGCTGAATAATGTTATACCACCCTGGTCCGAGATAAATGTCCATGTGCATAACAATTATTGTTTTATCAAATAAGTACCTTTCAGCATAATCAAAAGACGATCGAACCGTTGGATCCATGCGCGTAAGATGCAAAACAAGTTTGCTTGAATTGCTTAATGGTAAATTTAACAAATACTGTGCTATTTCAACATGGTAAATTAAAACGTGCACATTTACTATCAAATTGTTATTCAAATTATTTTGCAAGCAATCCTCAATTTCTTGTTGTCTTTCATCTAATTGAACTTTGGTTGGTTTATCGTTTAATTTATAACGTAAATTATTGACGTAAAAGCTGTTTGAGAGCAGTGCAAAATAAGTCACAAGGTGAAATCCGTCCTGCGCTTTTGTTGTTAGCTGAAGGTTACCATACCATTCTCTTGAAAACTGTGCGTTATTAGTTACAAAATATCTTTCTCTCTCGTAAAATTTTATAAAACAATTATTAAAATCTGCTTTTGGTTTTAAGTTGCTTAGATTTTCATGCAGCACATAATGATACCAAACATTTAACAAAAAAAAGGCAAAGACAAACATATTTATAAGAAAAGGTTTTTTAGTCATTTTGTTTTA